CACTGCCCCAGCAAAATTTCCAAGCCGTACAAATATTGCATTTACAGGTTTCGCTGCCTTTCTCGCCCAAGCAAGCTCCCGTTTCACACTTCTGCCTTTGGCATAAGGCAACGCACTTTGATTCCTCGCATCCCCCGGCATCAACACTCTCCCACAAAGCGGCAAGGAAGAGCATCGTTGCCAAGATTGTCGTTGGCAGCTGAACCTTCATTTTCTTCTCCCACTCTGCAACAAAAATTCCCACTTCAATACTATATCGGAAATGATCCAAATTTCCGAGAGACAACAGTGACAGGAAATAAAAGCTCAGCTCCTAGATATAGAATTATTTTAATTCTGACTTTGGCCTAGAGGACCTCAGCATCAACATCAATTACCGAAAGAAGGTGCAGTATGTTAGCGTTCCGAAATGATGATTCATCAAACCTCACGAAAACGTCGAAAATGGGAAAGACTCACGGAGGAAGCTCAACTTTCCACGACGGAGAAACTCGCAAAGGATGTAGGTCAGTTGCTTCCTGCGATGTTGTCGCTGTGTAGTGGCAGTGAATGGGAATGGCGAATGGAGCTTTTATACTTGGAAGTGACCTTCACGCGATGACATTTCCACCCTACAACAGATCCTCGCGTCATCCTTTGCAGCTGCATCCAATAGCAGCGCATGGACTTCATCTCCCAAATCCTATTCCACGTGCCGATTCTCAGGTCTGGAGGAAGGGAATTGACTCCCCACCGTCATCCTTCGGGGGCTCAGCCAATTCCTTCCGCTGCCATTCCATTAAAAAGGTCTTGGGATTATTCCTCATAGCATAGTTTGCTCTTCGACCTCCGGGCTCGCCGACATGATTCCGCGCTTCAGCAGCGTGGTAGTTGCCCCAAATTCCTAGTTTTTTTTCCGCTTGATCGCCCATTCTGCTTATATCGGAGGGACCGGGAGAGGCAGTCTTGCACGCATTTTAGCCCGACCGGTTCGTCATGTTCCGACCCCAGCAGCGGGCCGTTTATAACGGAACTGTTCAAGATCCTTCTTTTCGCTTCGGATCGTACCGAACGTTTTCATTTTATTTTCAAAATGGCATCATTCCCCTAGTCTGAGACCACGCAAACTCCGTGTCATGACTGGCAGCTTGTTTATGCATGTAACCTGAGAGAAAGAAAATACTAAATATGTGTTACCATGAATGCCGCCTGACTGAAGGAAGGAAGCTCGGTGCGGGCCGTTAAGTTAGATTGCGATTCGGGTTTCCCGTCGGGTGCCAAATATGAATTGAATCGGGCCTATCTATTCGAGTAACCGAGACGATGAAGAGGAAAATTATCAGTATCCATTCGAAACAAGATTCGCTTTAATATTAAGGTTTCATCTAGGGAAAAACACTGTTATTATAGTGACAAGTGTTCCACGTGAATGGCATTTTCCCCATACTACCGTGCAAGGGCGATATGGTGCAACTTAATGCGCGAACATACCCGATCCCCCTCCAATAAATGTAATCAATATCGCAGACGGCGAAATCATGCTTTCAATAAATCAGACCCGGCAAAAAAGGCATTTCCGAGTACCTTGGACTTGGATTCGCTTTCTCTTATTATCCCAAGTATCTTTGTGAAAGATGGAGTTTGAAACGTTGGTAGGAGAATGTTTAATTCAGTAATACATACTCCAGGAAATTCTTACAATCCCAACGTGAAAACGTTGGCAGCAGACCTTTGGTTCCGAAAGGATGTAGGCAATTCGTCCAAAATTCCACTGGGAGCGTGGAGAAGTGAGCCTCTCGCTTCAGTCCGAGTTCGGACAATTGCCGGAACACCGACTGGCAGGGTGCGTTGAATTGATAGTACCTTGTCTAAACCGACTTTTAGAAATTCGTCTGTACATATTTAAACACATCCAAGTCTCAGTGACTTTATTATTGGGGCAGTAATTCAAAATCATAGATGTTCCTCTCTTCAGTTGCTCCAGAGTAGGCAGTGGGAGCAGTTCGCGGTGATAGAAAATTCAAAGTCACCAAAAAATTTTCTTAATAAGTCACGAATAATTTTTACTTCAAGGAATGTCTTCAAACACCACCACAAAAACCAATGAGAAATGATTTCAGTGGATACAATTTCTCTCTGAAATAACAATGAAGAAAAATATGCGCTCTTTGTCCCAATATACATATGGAGGCATAATGAAATCACAATGACATTATACATTAAAGCGCGGCGCTCGAAAGGTAATACTTGAAAGAAGAAAGGGAAATGAATGTAATGTAAAAAATAGAATCAAAGATGAGGAACCAGAGAGCAAAAAAAATCGAGGCGAAAACAGGACAGTGGGTAGGTGATCCTTTCCTGCGAATGAAGGAAAAAACGGAAAAAAACTAAAGGTAAAATTAACCATTGCAACAGACCCATTGATCCAAGGCCAGGTTCTGCGGTTGTTGCTGAAAGCACTAAGAGTTCCAACCTGTTAGGCTGTGAGGAATCCTCCGACTGAAAACGCGAAGAATACCATTCCCATGAACATTTTCTGGCATATTTCATGAACGCCTTCAGGGTCATGAGGGAATCGTCATCGCGGACGACTGCATGCCATTCTTGTATATTCAATACATACAGCATCGTAGCAGTTCATGTAGAGTGCAGTTCCATCCCATCGATGCTCTCGGGGAATCCTTATGGGAAAGAAAGGGCTATGTCGGATCCAGGAGGCGCGTATCTGCACGCGTCAGTCGAAGAGATGAAATGCGGCCCCGGTGCACCTGTGCCAGGAGAAATTTTTCCATATGCCTCATGAATCGTGTTTACGTTTGGTCAGGGAAAACCCATACTCTTTCCAGCGGGAATTTACAGTGAAAAGTAACGCCGATATCGACCCCTGTTCTCGCCCTATTTAGTGGTAATCTTGGTCGTAATATCCTCGTAATCATGACGTAATAATGATTTCAGAAAAATTTCAGTTTCTGTGGTGCATCTCCTCCAACCATTGCTTTTAGGTGGGTACGCATCTATACGCTTCTACCCATCTTCACTGAGCGACTGACATTTGGAATAAGCGTCAGCTTATTCCAAATTTATTGCAGATATTATGGCAGGTAAAGGAGAAAATGGAGAAATCTACAGTTTGGCACAAAATAAATCACCGGAGTAATGATTTTGATGGAAATCCTGGTGACGTCCCCTCATGGCACACATTTCGACAGGGATGTTCAATGCGTTTATGCCACTTTGAAAATGAAATAAATAATCACAATTCAAGATAATGGAGCACCGATGGCACGACTATAGCGAGTTTGTTCACCCAAAGTGCAAACAAACTCCCTCTCCATCGGTATCGCTATCTATCGCTCGTAAGAAGTATCTATAGGCTTCCTAAATGATTTTTTCCAAAGGGCATGTAGATAGCAAGACAATAACTTCAGGTGAAATTGGGACAATTGCCCGAAATCCAACTAGATGATCCAAGAGAAATGTGGCCTGGAACGTCGGGTCGATTTTCGGACAACAGCCCAAAGTTTCAAAGGATGCCTGGTGTTTAAGGGATCTGGTTTCAACCGGTATAACCCCGTCAGGATTTATGTTTTTGCATCCAACTATCGGTACAGGTGGAATTCTGGGTTTTCCGACCGGAGTCAGAGTTGAAAGCTGTCTTTTTTTCCCCTCAAGTTAACGATCTACCATCCGATTAGATTTCGCTAACCGTTTTCTTTTCATGGGGAAAAGAATGGAGGTTCTGGAGATAGTGCTCTTTAGTCGTCAGTCTCCCAAGAAACATTATAATGGAAGAACTGTGAATCAGTGGCATTTCATATAACAAAGTGCTCAAACGGAATTCCTATTCCTATAGAATTCCAATATGGCATTTGATGATGACGGAGTCACTACATGCGGTCAACGTGGACGAAAGCAGAATGCTGCTCTCCCGTGGATGAAACCTCAACAGGAAAATGAACCGCGCGTGCTCTCGAGAGGAAGAGATTGTGCAGTATTCGCCTCTGCGCGCGCGAAATTCCGTAAAAACCGCCAATCCCGTATGACGTAAATAACTCCAGCATGTATTGTGCTTCGACAAGAGTCTTTATTCCAAGGGGATGGCATGATGATCCAAGAAAGGGTTGGAATCCATTAACCAGACTCATAACATGCACTGCCCCAGCAAAATTTCCAAGCCGTACAAATATTGCATTTGCAGGATTCGCTGCCTTTCTCGCCCAAGCAAGCTCCCGTTTCACACTTCTGCCTTTGGCATAAGGCAACGCACTTTGATTCCTCGCATCCCCCGGCATCAACACTCTCCCACAAAGCGGCAAAGAAGAGCATCGTTGCCAAGATTGTCGTTGCCAGCTGAACCTTCATTTTCTTCTCCCACTCTGCAACAAAAATTCCCACTGCAATACTGTCTCGGAAATGAGCCAAGACTCCGAGAGACAACAATGACAGGAAATAAAAGCTCAGCTCCTAGATAGAATTATTTTAATTTTGACTTTGGCCCGGAGGACCTCAGCATTAACATCAATTACCCAAACAAGGTGCAGTATGTTAGCGTTCCGAAATGATGATTCATCAAATCTCACGAAAACGTCGAAAATGGGAAAGACTCACGGAAGAAGCTCACCTTTCCACGACTGAGAAACTCGCAAAGGATGTAGGTCAGTTGCTTCCTTCGATGTTGTCGCTGTGTAGTGGCAGTGAATGGGAATAGCGGCTGGAGCTTATATACTTGGAAGTGACCTTCACGCGATGACATTTCCACTCCACAACAGATCCTCGCGTCATCCTCTGCAGCTGCATCCAATAGCAGCGCATGGACTTCATCTCCCAAATCCTCTTCCACGTGCTGATTCTCAGCTCTGGAGGAAGGGAATTGACTCCCCACCGTCATCCTTCGGGGGCTCAGCCAATTCCTTCCGCTGCCATTCCATTAAAAATGTCTTGGATTATTCCTCATAGCATCGTTTGCTCCTCGACCTCCGGGCTCGCTGACATGATTCCGCGCTTCAGCAGCGTGGTAGTTGCCCCACATTCCTCGTTTTTTTCCGCTTGATCGCCCATTCTGCTTATATTGGAGGGACCTGGAGAGGCAGTCTTGCGCGGATTTTGGCCCGACCGGTTCGTCATGTTCCGACCCCAGCAGCGGGCCATTTATAACGGAACTTTTCAAGAGCCTTCTTTTCACTTCGGATCGGACCGAACGTTTTCATTTTATTTTCAAAATGGTATCATTCCCCTAGTCTGAGACCACGCAAACTCCGTGTCATGACAGGAAGCTTGTTTATGCATGTAACCTGAGAGAAAGAAAATACTAAATATTTGTTACCATGAATGCCGCCTGAATGAAGGAAGGAAGCTCGGTGCGGGCCGTTAAGTTAGATTGCGATTCGGGTTTCCCGTCGGGTGCCAAATATGAATTGAATCGGGCCTATCTATTCGAGTAACCGAGACGATGAAGAGGAAAATAATCAGTATCCATTCGAAACAAGATTCGCTCTAATTTAAAGGTTTCACCTAGGGAAAAACACTGTCATTACAGTGACAAGTGTTCCATGTGAATTGTATTTTCCCCTTACTACCGTGCAAGGGCGATATGGTGCAACTTAATGCGCGAACATACCCGATCCCCCTCCAATAAATGTAATCAATATCGCAGACGGCGAAATCATGCTTTCAATAAATCAAACCCGGCAAAAAAGGCATTTCCGACTACCTCCGACTTGGATTCGCTTTCTCTTATTATCCCAAGTATCTTTGTGGAAGATGGAGTTTGAAACGTTGGTAGGAGAATGTTTAATTCAGTAATACATACTCCAGGAAATTCTTGCAATCCCAACGTGAACACAGAGCAGAGCTTTGGTTCCCAAAGGAGGTAGGCAATTCGTCCCAAATTCCCCTGGGACCGTGGAGAAGTGAGCCTCTCGCTTCAGTCCGAGTTCGGACAATTGCCGTACCACCGACTCGCAAGGTGCTTTGAATTGTTAGTCCCTTGTCTAAACCGACTTTTAGAAATCCGTCTGTACCTACATAAGCATATCCAAGTGCACATACCCAAGTGTACATATTTAAACACATCCAAGTCTCAGTGACTTTAATATTGGGGCAGTAATTCAAAATCATAGATGTTCCTCTTTTCAGTCGCTCCAGAGTAGGCAGTGGGAGTAGTTCGCAGTGATAGAAAATTCAAAGTCGCCGAAATATGTTCTTAATAAGTCACGAATAATATTTACTTCAAGGAATGTCTTCAAACACCACCACAAAAACCAATGAGAAATGATTTTAGTGGATACAACTTCACTCTCAAATAACAATGAAGAAAAATATGCGCTCTTTGTCCCAATGTACACATGGAGGCATAATGAAATCACAATAACATTAAACATTAAAGCGCCGCGCTCGAAAGGTATTACTTGAAAGAAGAAAGGGAAATGAATGTAATGTAAAAAATAGAATCAAAGATGAAGAACCAGAGAGCAAGAAAATAGAGGCAAAAACAGGACAGTGGGTAGGTGATCCTTTCCTGCGAATAAAGGGGAAAAAAAGGAAAAAAACTAAAGGTAAAATTAACCATTGCAACAGACCCATTGATCCAAGGCCAGGTTCTGCGGTTGTTGCTGAAAGCACTAAGAGTTCCAACCTGTTAGGCTGTGAGGAATCCTCCGACTGAAAACGCGAAGAATACCATTCCCATGAACATTTTCCGGCATATTTCATGAACGCCTTCAGGGTCATGAGGGAATCGTCATCGCGGAAGACTGAATGCCATTCTTGTATATTCAATACATCCAGCATCGTAGCAGTTCATGTAGAGTGCAGTTCCATCCCATCGATGCTCTCGGGGAATCGTGATGGGAAAGAAAGGGCTATGTCGGATCCAGGAGGCGCGTATCTGCACGCGTCAGTCGAAGAGATGAAATGCGGCCGGGGTGCACCTGTGCCAGGAGCGATTTTTCCATATGCCTCATGAATCGTGTTTACGTTTGGTCTGGTGTAATGGCTGGATGACCCGAGTTTCGGACAATTGCCCAAGACTCGTTAGGATGTCGGGAAAGAAGACCTCCGACACAGAGTGGATTTCGTGGAAATGCTCAAAATCGCTTCACCTTGAAGTCAATGGCTTCAGTGGTTCCCGATCGTCACGCCTTTTCAAGAATTAGATTGCCAGGGATCTTCAATCTCCGATACAATGAGAGGAGCACAACGAGAAAACAGGAACTTTTCTGCACAAGATGCCTCCTTTCCGTGGAAAAAAAAGGCTCTAGCGGTTTAATGGGAATAGCCAGGTCTAACTTCTTCCCAGTGGAATTGCATTGACCTTCCTAAGATGATTCTCTGTGTGAAACGTGGACGCTCTGGCATCCACCAACCGCCGTATGATGCCGTATTTCTACTGAAATACGCCATACATTCGTGGTTCTGTTCGACCCCATTCATTGTAAGTGAAGTGGGCATAGGCTTTACAAAGAAAGATGCTACATTCTCCATGGAAGGAAGTCAGCATGTGGATGCGCCATCCTGGAGGTAGATGTGCGCATAGGGAACAATGTATACAAAGGCCAGACAATGCATGTCCTAAATATTGAAATGTCTTCCCTCAGGGAAAACCCATACTCTTTCCAGCGGGAATTTACAGTGAAAAGTAACGCCGATATCGACCCCTGTTCTCGCCCTATTTAGTGGTAATCTTGGTCGTAATATCCTGGTAATCATGACGTAATAATGATTTCAGAAAATTTTCAGTTTCTGTGGTGCATCTCCTCCAGGCATTGCTTTTAGGTGGGTACGCTTCTATACGCTTCTACCCATCTTCACTGAGCGACTGACATTTGGAATAAGCGTCAGCTTATTTCAAATGTATTGCAGATATTATAGCAGGTAAAAGAGAAAATGGAGAAATCTACAGTTAGGCACACAAGAAATCATCGTGGTAGTGATTTTGATGGAAATCCTGGTGACGTCCCCTCATGGCACACATTTCGACAGAGATGTTCAATGCGTTTATGCCACTTTGAAAATGAAATAAATAATCACAATTCAAGATAATGAAGCGCCGATGGCACGAATATAGCGAGTTTGTTCACCCAAAGTGCAAACAAACTCCCTATCCATCGGTAATCGCTATCTATCGCTCGTAAGAAATATCTATAGGGTTCCTAAATTATTTTTTCCAGGCTTCCTAAATTATTTTTTCCAAAGGGCATGGAGATAGCAAGACATTAACTTCAGGTGAAATTGGGACAATTACCCGAAATCCAACTGGATGATCGAAGAGAATTGTGGCCTGGAACGTCGGGTGGATTTTCGGACAACAGCCAACAGTTTCAAAGGATGCATGGTGTTTAAGGGATCTGACTTCAACCGGTATAACCCCGTCAGGATTTATGTTTTTTCATCCAACTCTCGGTACAGGTGGAATTCTGGGTTTTCCGACCGGAATCAGAGTTGGAAGCTGTTTTTTTCCCTCATGTTAACGATCTACCATCAGATTAGACTTCGCTAACCGTTTTCTTTTCATGGGGAAAAGAATGGAGGTTCTGGAGATAGTGCTCTTTAGTCGTCAGTCTCCCAAGAAACATTATAATGGAAGAACTGTGAATCAGTGGCATTTCATATAACGAAGTGCTCAAACGGAATTCCTATTCCAATAGAATTATAATATGGCATTTGATGATGACGGAGTCACTACATGCGGTCAACGTGGACGAAAGCAGAATGCTGCTCTCCCGTCGATGAAACCTCAACAGGCTCTCGAGAGGAAGAGATTGTGCAGTATTCGCCTCTGCGCGCGCGAAACTCCGTAAAAACCGCCATTCCCGAAACATGTAAACAACTCCAGCATGTATTGTGCTTCGACAAAAGTCTTTATTCCAAGGGGATGGCATGATGATCCAAGAAAGGGTTGTTATCCATTAACCAGACTCATAACATGCACTGCCCCAGCAAAATTTCCAAGCCGTACAAATATTGCATTTGCAGGATTCGCTGCCTTTCTCGCCCAAGCAAGCTCCCGTTTCACACTTCTGCCTTTGGCATAAGGCAACGCACTTTGATTCCTCGCATCCCCCGGCATCAACACTCTCCCACAAAGCGGCAA